TATGAATAGTGAACGTAAAGTTTATTTGTGGAGAGAGGGAGTATATATGCAATCTGAGCCGCACGATGCATCAGATCCAAAGGCTAGATTTTATTCTTATTTCTTTCACCAAGGTGCATTCTCACATTAACCGGCCTATATATATATATATATATATATATATATATATATATATATATATAGCCCGAAAACTCCACCAAAGTCAGTGGGGTAAGGTCCAGGCCGCCCTTACCAATATCATTAAAGTCGAGTAAGTACACGTTCGGGGAGGACTAGACCAGAGCCCCGAAAGTAAGAAAGAATACGAGTTCGGGGAGGACTATACTGAAGCCCCGAAAGCAAAAGCCAAAAACAACAAAATAAGAAGTAAAGGTAGATGAGACAAAAGAGGAAGGAATTCTTCTGTCCCTCTGCGTCAACTTCTAACCCCATATCTAGTTCGATCAGTTGAAGAAGAGACTAAGAGGTGTGTCTTCTTTCTTTGAAATGTTCTCTGGCAAGGTAGGGTTTGAGGTTCAATGCTTCAATCTCTTCCTTAATAGCAATGTCCTGAGCTTTTTTGTTCGACCAAAACCAGTGTTGAAATAGTTTTTGGATTTCAATGATAATCCCCACCTTTGTTGGTTTGTGATCCTCATAAATGCATCTATTGTAAGTCTTCCATAAGATCCATAGTATACATCCAGGAAGGATTAGCTTGAGTAGACCACGGAGAGATGTTGTTTTAAAAGTGACCCACCATTGTACAAGGTAATCCCTTAGCTCTGTTTCTTGATTCCAAACTGGTCCTCCGATGTAGTCTGCAAAGGCTTTCCAGATGCTTTGTGCCATCTTACATGTAAGTAGCGTGTGTTTATCCGTAGCTTCAGCCTTGCCACATAATAAGCACTTACTAGGCAGGTTAAAATTCAGTTTGTTGAGAATATTGGGAAAAGGGAGAAATTGGTTCGAAGCTTTCCAAGTGAAAAGCTTAACCTTAGGAATCTGGAATTTGTTCCAGTTAAGGGTGAAAAGCTGCTCACTGATATTTCTTTCCCTTACTGCACAGTAAGCCTCTTTGAAGGTGAATTCTCCATTGATCCAACTGTAGGTGTGATTGGACAGGGTAGTATTCTGGAGACCTATGTGAGAAATTCTGCAAATTCTCTTCCAGGAGGAAGAGTCATATAATTTGGCTTCGAAAAGACCATCCCTATAGTACTTGCCCCTCATAAAGGAGGCCCAAATAGATTGCTCTGTAACTGACTTCCACCAAAGCTTCAAGGCTGAGGCTTTTTGAATGTCAAATAA